CATATGTGTACCTAAATTGTACATATTAGTATCTAAATAGTACATTATAGTACCTTTTGAAAAGGTATCGCCTCAGTGACAGATAGAGAGTGTGGCATCTAAAATGTACATTTTTCTGCGCATGAAAAACTTAAAGACGGAGGCTACAAATGCATATTAAACCTTGTTCGTATAATACTGAATTAATACATAGGTTTTTTGTATTACAATATAACAGTTTGACAGTATAACCATTTCATTCTGCTGTGTTTTGTTCCCGTATTCAACTCATTTTGACAGAATCCACTTTACCCAAACCTACTTGTAAAATTGTGTAAAAAAAAAAAAGTTAAAAATCAACTAAAATTATTTCCTTTTTAATATTTTAATAATCTTTTTTTTTTTTTTTGCCATGAGACAGCAGTGACAAACACACCAGAGAAAATACCATAAACAATATGTATTTAATAATTACTGTTACTGTGTTACTATGCAATATAAAAAAGTAAGTTATGATCATTTATGGTGTATTTGTTTTGTTATTCTCAATAAAAAAGGTTGTCTTTGCAAATTTTCATCAAAATAGTGTGCTTTGCATCTGATACGGTTTTATAACATATTTTCAGACTTCACGAATCTTGCTTATTTTCCATATGGCTCATCCATTGTGGTATGCAATGCCTACTTTTCAAAATCCAATCAATTTCCAATAGATAAAATCTGGTCCAGAATGACAGAATTCTCGCATTTGTTTCACTCATAAATAAAACTGGTAGCAAACTTTAAACTATAAATAAGATATAATAAACATCTGCAAGATATATTTCTATTATATATTATGAAATAGTGAGATAAGCTTGCCTTTGATAGGAATATGGTTTTACATGTACCACATTCACTGTCAGATAACAGAAAAAAGGGTGATTTATTTTTTAAGCATTAGATTCAGAAGCAGCATTTGAGTACTTCATCAGGTGCATGATTTACAGCATCAAGGCAACACTTGTTTTACAGCAAAATATGAAAACCACTATCATAAGTAAGTGTAACTCATTTTCAATGGAAACTTCCTCAGCTGTTTCATCACCTGCTTTCGCAGAAAAGAGAAGAAACTTTCGTAAGGAGAGGAAAACAACAGGAATAAAAACAACTGCTGATATGCATTACAGATTCTGAGAAGAGGATAAATATTTGACTTTCATACTGTGCCCAGAAGGAAGGTTTCTAAATACTGCATGGTGAGAGTAAACCTTAGGAAACCCTCTACCAGTCCCCATTATGTCACCCTGTGATCTCTTTCTCTCTCGCTCTGTCTTTCGCTCTCGCACGCAGACATGTTTGCTGCATATACCGGCTTTATAGTGCACATACAAAAGCAGTTGCACATGCACACATAAAGAAATGTGTACAAAGAGACAAACACATAAACACAGTAATACTATCTTGTGTTAGGTCTTGTCTGCTGTGTGTTTCTGTTAAAGCATGCTGTTTATTTGTTTACTGGTTATTTGTGCTCTAGTTGAGAATTGGAAAGGTGAACACTTACCCAGCATTAACGCTAGTGCAGTTATAAGGTGAAAGGCGCATATTCTGAACCAACTTCGATGACAGTTGTAGCTTGTTATAAACTTGTGTGATCATATTGCCAGTAACATTTATAAAGCACAAGTGCATTAACCATAAAACTCTCGGGTTAGACCACCTGAATGCGGTCAACCCAAGAGTTTTAAGGTTAAAATAAGGTATTTTCTTTGGATTTCTCCCCACCATGCTTCAAATGAAGACCAATGGAAAGTACCAATGCGTTTAAAATCGATCACAGCGACTTATTCTAAGAATGTACTGCATGTAGAGATTTAAAGGAAAATTATGGGTCTAATATAAATAAACGTAAGCTATCAATAAAGATAATTTCATCTAAAAAAAATGAAAAAATAGATACATAAATTAAATTAAATTAAATAAAATAGCCAATTGCATTTTGTAATTATGGGACTAGTAGTTTAATTTGCAATATTCAAAACATCAGCCCTGCTACCTCTTTTGAGAGAGTTTTTACTTAAATCCTCCTCCTGACAAGAAACAAATTTCCAATTAGGGACCAAGAAGTTCCTTCATGAGTTTTGTCTCATGTGCATGATTATCGTATGAATAGCGCGCGTGAGCTCATTTTCTGACATTAAAGATAATGAGCTCAGACGGGAAAGACTGGACCTTGCGTTGGTTTCATACGGATTACTTCATCAGAGAACATTTGTCTTCGATAAGACTTACTTCACTATGCTTTCCATAGATATATCTCTCATGTCTGTGTGTGAAGTATTCTCTGAGTTTTGGTTCATTTTAGTGACGCGTTTCAGAAAGAAGTTTGCGGAGACTGAGACAGCTGAAAGCGCACCCTGTATATTTTCTTTATTTTACAAAAGCACAATGTTTTGTTGATATTGTGAGTGTACACAAATAAAAGTAGACCCTTCACAGATTCAAATGATGTATTACACTTATATGTACAATAAAAAATGGTGGAGCATTTTAAGTTATTTTCGCTGTTATCAGGAAAAAATGCAAGTAAGTGATCGCGCCGGTGCCTCCGTCGACCCCGCGCAAAACGTAATTTTAAAAGGCATATATATATTTTTTTTTCTTAACACTACATTTGTAACATAAGTAACATAATTATACTGATTTTAGCAACTGTAATCAAATTACACAAATTTAAAATGTAATGTGTTACATTACTGCGTTACCAGAAAAAGTAATTAGATTACAGTAACACGTAAAAAAAAAAAAAACCTTTTTCATCTTATAAAATTTTGTTAAAGAAGGCAACCGACATTTGTACAGCCTCCATATCGAGAGATGTACAGTATGCAGTTTTTGACTCGTGGGTGCAAAAAAAGATGGCATCCAACATCTGCCAGTTTGGGAGAATTGAGGAAAAATATGAACTGACAGATGTCGATTTTGAGCTGTGAAATAATGAGCCCTATCAGGTATAAAATAATCCATTTTAAAGCTATGAACATATATGAAAAGGTCCATTCTGCTCTTTTAGATTACTTTTCTATACAGAGTTCTGCTAACTGCTCCTTGCAGCTATATTTTTATTTGTCTTTACAAACTGAGTTACAAGTCGAAATTATTTTCTAATTGACATATTAACATGCACTTAACCCAGAATTTCCTTTAATTAAGGGACAATTAGTCTGTAATGTCTACTTACTATAAACAATGAAGTGTGATATCCATAAATTAAGTCCTAAACTTACTTTATTTTGTAACTACATTTTAGCTAATTTAAACAGTGAAGCTTTAGGATAAATGGTATTTACTACAGTTTCCGGGGTTTAATTCTAAGTATCCAAAACAGGAGCATATCATGCAAACAACATTTTAGATGTTCACCGCTGCCCAAAGATTTATAAGTTGTTAGTGTCTTCAACCAACTGTAAAAAAAAAAAAAAACTTCAACCAACTGTAAAAAAAAAAAGTTCTACCAACTTTTGGAAATGTGAATATACATTTTTGTAGCATTACATGTCATATAATCTCAGTTTTCCAAAGGAAATATGAAGCAGGATGTGGAAAAACCCAATCAGAAAAGAAAAGTATACAAAATAGACACAGTAGGGACAGTGAGGGATGGGGGGAGGTTGCGTTTCACACCAGAAAATGCTCACTCACACACACACTTGAACACTCCCACATACCTATTTTCTATCTTTCACACACATACTGTCTTGAAACTGTGATTTTGTATCTTTGCTTTTATGGTTTGTGCTATTGTGCATTATCTGATGAGAGGCACATACTGTAGCTCCTCTGCGTCAAGACAGGAAGACCAAAGCAACCCTTACAGTTCCTCTCTCATGCGTTTTCTATGTGTGTGCTTCTCTCTCTCTCTCTCTCTCTCTCTCTCTCTCTCTCTTTTAACTCTTAGTTATCTCCTGTTCACACCTGCAGGTATTTCATATTTCTATCATTTTCCCAGGAAACAACTGAGCTGAATCTCATGACGTTTCATCATGTAAATATTGTCAGACTGCCATTTGGGATTCTTAAAGGAATAGTTAACCTAAGTCAGGGGTGTCCAAACCTCATCCTACAGGGCCACTGTCCTGCAGAATTGAGCTCCAACACTAATTAAACACACCTAAAGCATATGATCAAGGTCTTCAGACTCATTAGAAACTTCCAGCCAAGTACGTTGGAGCTGGTTAGAGCTAAACTCTGAGCATTGGCCCTCCAGAAGCAGGACTGGACACCCCTGACCTAAGTCATAATTTACAACTTTGCTCATTTTGGCCCAACTAAAAGAAATAGATGTTGGGACTGACAAGCTCCAAAATGACAAAAAAGCGCCAAACGAGCATCATAGTCCATACAGCTTGTGCTCTATATTCAACTCAGGCTCATTGGAAATATGTGCTTGTGGCGACGTTTTGGCAACACAGAAATTAAGTACTATACTGCATGTTTAAAATAGTTTTAAGTCATAACATAATATTGTGCAAGGAAAATTAGTTTGTGTGAAAAGGAATAAAAGCTGTCAGAGTTTTACTGCCTTAGTGTTAATTTAAACTGGAAACTGCAGCAATTTGTATGTATAGATACATTTTTTTAGTTTTGCAGAAATGTAGGTAGAGGCATGTTTTTCCAATGAGACTGGATAGTCTATATTATAAATCTACTCCTTATACGAAACTATCATGTCTTCAGAAGATATAACATATAGTGCATGGGTTGTAAGGACTTCTTTTATGATGCTTTTAATCATTTTGAATCTTGACAGGCCCATTTGCTTTGAAATTTTGACCTTATGTGTTCCGTGGAAAAAAAGTCATACAGATCTGTAACAGTATGAGAGTGAGTAAATAATGTCAGAATTTTCATTTTTGGGAGAACTATTCCTTTAAGGCCACTAGTTAACTCTAAGAGTGAACTGCTTCAGTTAGCAAAACATGTTAATGAGACGAGGTTATGACGTGGAGTTATGTCTATATATGTGGCAGGTATGTTACCTGGCTATGACAAACAGCACACAACTGACACCCAAGTAAGCGAGCAGAATATACATCCAGATGTCAGGGGACAGGGGGTTGAGAAAGGAGAACACCCCCGGGTTGGTGCCGTTGGGTTTGCGGTACAGTATACTTATCCCCAGTGTCATGAAGGGTTTGGAAAAGTCGATGACCTTCTCCCGCACATACGTGATGGCCAGGGGTGCCACTGCAAGATCAGCTTTCTGCGAAGAGCGCTGAACCGAATCCACTCTCAGCTACCCAACTAGACTAAAATATGAAAATAGCAGTTATAAATGAAGGGGATTAAAGGTTTTACACAGGTCTGCCGCTGTTGGCTCTCTGTCAAAAGTAGAAATAGCCTGTGTCTCTTAGCATACGTTTTCAGAGTCAGTTTGACTGTAACTTTTAGTCCACATATGAACATTTACATAAATTAAAGGCACAATATGTAAGTATCCAAAAAACCACTGTTATATATTTTGCTGACTTGTGTACTTACATTATCCCAAATGTTTCGAAGAATGTTTAAGTCCAGACAAACAAGCAATTTTAACTAGTGACACGGACCGTGTCCATAGTGTCATTGTGTCGCCTGCCAATGACGTCATAACCCCTCGATTTCGGGTTCAGCGGCCTCGTTTCGCTTCGACGGCTTTCAGCCTCACCCTGCTTCATTCTACTACGTTAATAAATCATTAGTTCATCCATGAACATGATTTCTGCCCGAGTCCCGTCGGATTGCATCGGCTGTGGGGATGAAGACGACAACTCCCATGATTCCACACTCAGTCACGGCGTCATCAAACTGCGCCTTTGTCTCTTTGTTTATTTTGAATATGCGCCATCTAGCGGCAAAACGTACATATTGTGCCTTTAGGTTTAAATTATATAACTTTCCATTGAGTTTAATATGTTGCGTTCTTTGGTCATTTTTGTTACTGTAAATGAAAATATCTTAAAATGCACACTAATTTCCAACAATTCATGAAAAAAATGTGTAAGGTTGACGGAATGGGACTCATTTGCACAGTTTGGTAATTGTTATGACCGTCAAACCTAATCTCATGAAAAAAATTAATTATTTTACATTGACAAATTGGTGGTGTACTGTCTTCTTACAGTTTTATTTGTACAAAAATGTCACTATTTTGCGTTTTGATGAATTAGTGGTGAATTTGTTCTTGAAAATTTGGTGGAGATTTTAATTTATATGAAAATGTCCCTTCTTTTACATTTTGATGAATTGGTGGTGAATTTATGCGATTTCATTTGTACAAAAACATCACTATTATACGTTTTGACAAATTGGTGGTGATTTTGTACAATTGAGACTATTTGAAAACATACAAATAAAATGTACTAATTCGCCAAAATGTAAAATAGTTATTAATTATTATGAGAGTGTGTTGGACCATCTCCTTACCAATATCTAATTATTTTCTTATCACCTATCACCTGCGTTTTTAGACTTAAGGATTACAAATAATGAGTATAATTATGTAATCAGATTACTTCCTGAAAAAAAACACACATTTAGAATAAGTAATGTGCCTTTTTAAAATTAAATTGATTTACTATTAATATGCATGCACCCCAAACTAAATAAATCCTATTGTAATCAACAAAGTTGTCTATACTCAAAGTGATGTAACATCTATATTGGGGGGAGGGGGAGGGACACTACAAACTGGGGGAAATAATAACAATAATAATAATAAGCAAAACTAAGTAAATAAATAAATTAATAAATAATAAAACATAAATAATATTAAATCTGCAAGCCAAGCATTTTAAGGCATACTAGGAACTCTCCCAATGCAAACAATGTGGCAAAAGGTAGGCTCTATTATTATACTGATCATTTTAGGCTAATCAAATTGCAGTCTGTGTAGAGTGTTCCAGATCAGTCACTTATGGAGTTCCATTTTTATTGGCTGTTGCCTTGGAAGGCAGATAATGACGCTCTAGGCAACCGCCTTGTTTGCTTATGCTTAGAAATGGCCTCATGTGATCCTTCAGAAATAATTTTAATATGCTGACTTGGTGCTTGTTATTATTATTGTAATAATGTTGTAAAAAAATAAACAAAAAACAGGTTTGCTGTTTAATTAAATTTTGTATTTGTTTTATGGAAACCATGAAGCTTTTTCAAATGAACAATTTCAAATGTAATCTTAAGAATGTTCCTTTAAACTCAGCAGTGAAGTTGTTTTTACACGGATCCCAGACTTAAAATTAATTCCTATTATGAATAACTTTATCTTTCTGATTCGTGTCTCTAAAACTCAAAATAAAACAGAAAGCAATCAAATGACAAAGTATCTACAGGGCTAAGGAATCCTGGTCTACACTATACAATCTTTCAAATCCTGCATAATAGTTTTGAGCCCTCAAATTTATTTTAAAGGCATATGTCTTAACATCTGAATTACACATTTTCAAGCCAAGCGCTGAGGATTCATAGTTTGACTACAGTATGATTGTGAATCTGAGATTATACCCGGTAAAATCCATTCTGACACAGTAAGGCCGTTATTCCTCCTCCAGAACTGATGGAGGGTCTGCTGTCGAAACGCTGACACCAGCTAAGACGGCTGTGCCCCTAAAACTGACATTTAGTTCAATTTCACTACGTTTACTGTTAGAATTGGTATAATTTCAGTCAAAATAAAGGCTTCCGTCTAGAATTATTGGATTGTCTATAATTATTCCCAGAGGGGGCAAATTAATGCCAGAAGTGAGCAGATGTTGTCTCGCTACCTTCCTTTTTTTCTTCTAAAGTCCTTTGACAAGATATTTTTATCTCTAGCACATCAATGTACTGGCAAACTGCAAACTCCAGACTGCTCTGAAAGCTTGTCAAGGCCAATTACAGTCTGTCCTGCTCTCGTCTTGTGTTGGGGAATTGCTGGGGAATGTTACGACATCACACACACACCCTCCGCTTTCACACCAGACGATCCGACCATGACCAATTGAGGAGCAGTGACTAAGAGATATGTCTGATGTATTTGTTGGAGCAATGGATACTGTTGTTGAGTATGAGGTGTGCAGCACTTTTCTCAGCAATGTGTTTATTCCTATCTTAGTCTTTGTGGAGTCTAATGAGGATGTCGAAGGGCAGTGCTTGGTCCCAAGTGTGTGTGTGTGTGTGTGTGTTTGTGAAAGTGTGTGTGCTTAATAAGCTCTATGGGGGAAAAAACTAATGCCAGATTTTTCACTTTGTGTCCTCTCGGCAGTATGTGCTTGAGTTTTATTTTAATGCATTTCATACCATCTGCTGTGCGCACACACACTGTTAATCTTATTTTCATATGTTTCCTCTCTACTCTGAAAGCATCTACTTTCATTGTATACTCTTGACAAGTCCCTTCTGCAGCAGGGTGGAAATATGTCAGGATCGTGCACCATCCTGAATTGAATTAGGAATGCCTTATACATTACACTACAATTTCCTAATAATCTAATTAAATTTGAATCGAGGCAGCAAAGGAGGAGGAAAAATTACAATTTTAGTTTATAGATAATTCAAAGAAATGTATATAACCGCTGTGTAGTTTTTTTTTTTTTTAAATAATACAATTTTATTTTATTTCTCAGTATGAATTAACATGATAAACATATTATCATACACACAACATATAGGATCTATTCAGAAACATTAGATGACTGTGAAAAGCCAATTATAGAAATGTATACAAAAGTTTGGGGTAAGATTTTTTATTTTTATTTTTATATTTATTTATTAAAAATATATTACTTTTATTCAGCAAGGACACATTCAACTGATCAAAAGTGACATGAAAGTTTTATAATGTTACAAAAGATTTTAAATAAATGCTGTGCTTCAAGTGCTATCAGTTTCCACAAAAATATTACATGGCACAACTGATTTCAACATTGATTATTACAATAGAGATCAAAATTAGAGAACAACCTACAATTTCCTAAATGTCAAGGTCACTGCTCAGTCCGATTTGAAGTTATGCTAACAGGAGTAGAAGGGCAGTTTTTTAAGCATATTTCATAAATGAATTGTATTCTGCAGCGCAACATTACCCTTAAATTAAATATTTGAACAAGAACTCAGATCAAAATTAGAGAACACTTACAGATACTTCCAAGCTATTGGTGTTAATCTGGCACCAGGTGCTAATTTCCTTAATTATATAACAAACCCTATTTAACTGGCAGCATTCCTCTAATTTTCACTGAGATTGTAAGATGGCGGGTCGCTCTAAGGTGACTGAACCCCTGCGACAGGAGGTTGTCCAGATGAAGGCCAAAGGGATGACACTTTCAGCCACTGTAAGAGAAGTTGGTCATTCCAAATCTGTGATTTCTAGAATATTGCAGCTTTACAATGATGCTAATTCATTTAAGTGCCCCAAAAAGGCTGGTCGTTCACGTAAGACAAATGCAAGAGAAGACAGGATAATGCGGAGACACTCAATGGGGAATCGGTTCAACACTGCAGCTGGAATTGCTCACCAGTTCAGTGATGCACAATGTATGGATCTGGGTCCGATGGGAAACATTTTTTTTTTTGGCACCAAACTGGGGAAAGACTGAACCCCGAGTGTGTAAAGAAGTCAGTAAAAGGTGGAGGAAGAAGTCTCATGCTTTGGGGGATGTTTTGTGCAGCAGGAGTTGGGCCTCTTATACAGCTACATGGTAGGTCAATGCAAATGTTTATCAGAACCTCCTTCAGCAACATGCAGTTCCTTCCCTGCAAGCATCTCCCAGTCAGCCTGCAATTTTCATGCAAGACAATGCTCCCGTCACACTGCAAAACGGGTAAAGCAGTTCCTTGAACATTGAAATAATAAAGTGGCCGGCCCATAGTCCTGGAGCCAGATTCACAAAAACCTTCTTAAGAAATAAGTAAAGATATTTCTTAAGATAAATTCCATGAAGTTTGTCAGAACGTTCCTAAGTACAATATTTGAAAATGTTTTCAAATATGTTCTTTTTTTTTTTTAAGAAAATTACAGTCTTTATCTGATTTAATAAATGGTGTTTCTAGATGAAGACTCACTGTTAAACTAAAAAACTAATTAGTAAATAAATAAAGGATTTTCTTTTTGCATTGCCTGAAGATTACTGCTACAGTAAACACGTCTTGTGTATGGCCGCATTCATAGGCCCTGAATTATGTTGTATTTATAAAAACGAGCTCCCTATCTGACTTATTTTTGCAGAGTATTACTGAATTTTGAATTCGAAATTCGAATTGAATTTGAGTCGCGTCACATAATCATGACTGACCATTGTTTACATTATCAGTCATCTGTGTTTTTTGCACTTTTGCACATCCCTATTAATAGTCCAACTATGTATTATATGCAGTAAGTGTTGTTGTAATGCTTAAATATAACAATTAATTCGAAATAACCCAATAAATTCACTAAATCATTCTTACCATTTGGGATTTAAGACCAGTCTGAGGCTATCCTAATTTAACTTAATCCCAAGTTATTTGCAATGATTTTTAAGAAGATTATTTTCAAGAATTTGAAAGAACAATCTTAAGAAAAAAAGATAAACATATGCTTAAGAAGAATTTTTGGAAATTTAAACTATTATTAACTGTTTTCTTAAGTTAGAAAATAAGAGGAAAACGGCAGTTAAGTAGAACTCTCTTCTAAAGATTTTTTTTGAATCTGGCCCCTGATCTAAACCTGATTGAAAATCTCTGGAAAATCCCTGGCGACAAAGATATGGTTAAGAAACCCACTACAGTCACCGCACTATGGAAGAGACTGGAAAAATAGTGGACCAAGATCACACCAGTGCAGTGAGTAACTAGTGATGTCCTGCAGCCGCATATGTGATGAAGTCATTCAAAGCAGGGGCCTCTACACGTCCTACTAATTTTTCACAGCTGTAAACCTCCAAAATTGTAGTTGTAATCTTCTTTCTACAGTGGTTACTGTTGTCTAATTTTGATAACTGTGTTTTCCACAAAATGAAGGTTTTTGTTGAAATGCCTTCGTTATTTTGTCAAACATGTTAGTGGTTCAGTGGCATACCAATATTCCTTCAAATTTTGAGCGATGAAGATTAAAAACATTTCAGAAAAAAAAATAATGTATTTATAGATTGTTCTCAAATTTTGATCTCCACTGTAATTTGTATTATTATTATTATTATTATTATTATTGAGCATAAAATCAGCATATTAGAATGATTTATGAAGGATCATGTGACATTAAAATGAATGAATTACATAAAATATATTCAAATAGAAAACAGTTAATTTTAATTTTAATATTTCAGAATATTAATGTTGAGCATATAATTGTGTTAAATATGTTAGAAGACACTAATGTTGCACTGAATTTGATTGCTGTATGAAAGAAATCAAGTTTGCTTTAATTGTTTTGATATTTACTGAGAAAGAAATCTAGTCAGTTTAGGGAAACATATCAGGGAATACATAATTAGTCAAAATGAATGATTATTATTTGTCACAAAGCTTTTGTGGGATTATGTTGGATTTCTTTGTATTGCTATTCAGTAAATTCCTCTTCCAGTTTTTCAAATTTAAATTCCAATTCAACATCTTTGGGGGACAGGTGGTGACCAAGTCAATGTATATTCACACTGATGATTTAAAAGGGAAGCAATTTTGCTGAACCTTGCAGGGTTGTATGGAATGATGAGTGGAAAAGAGCCAAGCTGAGTGCAATGAAAACAGTATTGGATTGCGGAGTCTGACTCACATGGTCCATCAGTTCTTGGATCATGCCATTCCACTGGCCCGTGCTCTCTTCCTGCGCTCCATACTTGCCATCCTCCACCAGTCGTATTTCGTAGGTGAAGCCCAGGATGGCAGCCAGTTCTCGCAGCAGGTCGATGCAGTAGCCCTCGAAGCGATCATTACCGTATAGCGGCTTATCTGACTTCTTGAACATTACGTAAGGCTCTTCCTGTGGAGAGAGAAGACATGTGCTCTGATTGTCAGAAATATGTCTGATATATGCCTGATAGGGCTTGCACACCCACAGCGATGTGCAGCCACAGTGAGTGAAAAACTGTGTCATGCAGCTCAATTTATGGCTGAAAATATAATATAATATAATATAATACATTTGCATAAATAATATTTGATTAATATTTTGCTTTTTTTTTTTTTTTTGACAATACAGTGAATGTCAATGGGGCCCAATGTTGGGTCATTGACATGCTTCAAAATATAATTTGTGTTTCACAATAAAGAAAAGCATTCAGATTTGGAACAACGTGAGAGTGAATAAATGATAACCATTTTCATATCTTTTAATTTCTTTAACATGGTGTTAACTATAATGATGCATGAGCAACAAATCAGCAATATGAGACAGCAGATCTTGGCAATAAGAATGCACATATCTGGTTTAGATTGCAGGAAGCTGGTGTGAACTGATCCTTCTATACCAGTGAGACTATTCAGGAAAATTTGTTGTGCCAGGGGAGCTTCAGCAGAGAGAGATAAGCGCTTTCCCGCCCCCACGCTGCTTTACCGCCCGCATATTCACAGTCCTAATGAACCAATGAGAGGCAGCCTGTTCACAGCAGGAGCCCGGCATAGAAACAACAGTTCTTCTCATGCATCAATGCACTAGGTGTAAACTATTTTTGCCTTTTTTCCCTTTAAATTCTCTGACATTTGAAAACATTGTCAGTTAAGCCACCTTATGTCCACAACAAGCAAAACAAATTCAGAAAGCATGTTGGTCATTCAGCTTTAATGCAAATAACCCATTTAACAATAAAGGTATTACTCACATTCATTCTATATAAAATATAAAAACCATTTGATAATACAGATATTGCCTGTTTTAGTGCAGTGAACCTTTTCTGAAATATCTAGTTTTTAGAAATAAAGAATTTTGTGTTTTTTTGTTTTTGTTTTTTGTTTTTTTCTTTCTTTCACATTTTAGTGACATCAAAGCAATTTCGAGTTAAATTAGAATTCGCACAATATCTGTGTGAGATTATTATATTATAATATTCTTCCCTTTATGATTTTTTGAAAAATTTTATTTAATAAAATATGATATTTAAATATAAGTGAATGTCAATATAATTATATGTGCCCTTCTTCCAACTCACATCTTGTTATGGTGCACTGAAGTAACTCTATAAAAAAGAACATATATATATATTTGGTTCAACAAACAGATACAAAAATTAGACAAAGTAACAGAGTTCTTCATCACTATAATTCAATGTTAATGTTCAGCTAAATTAAAGTGCAAGCTTATTGATCTTAGAAAAATATAAGTATTATATAGAACACAATATATTATGTCTGATGAAAGCACAGGACAACTTTAATTATTAGGTTGCTACAACAACTTTTACCATAAATTGAACATACATTGAAAAAACAAAAAAAAAGCTGTATGATGAAACAATTTTCACTCAGAATATGCTAGTAAATTTCACAATCCATTATAAAGAAACTGCAAGTAATTCTGAAGAAAGACTGAAATAGTATTATCTTGTAAACATACACCAATAATCTTTCATTGATAACCATTATTTTTTTTTTTTTTTCCCCACATTCAATTTAAAGTTAAAACTGGTTGCCTTCTGATTCTCCACAGTGTGCATGGATTCCTACTGAAATTATTTTGCCTGCAAAATATTAAATGTGACTGCTTTTTAAGGCATTTGGTTTGACTGGACATATAATACTTAGACATTCAGAAAAGCATTTACATTATTCAGGTACACGTTTTAATTGAACTATGCTGATAATATAATCTCAATGAAAACAACTGTAAACAACCCTTTTTCTGTTTTGTAAGAAATTGCACTTCATTTAATATCAACCGCTGTCATTCACATCTATCTGGAATGACAGATCCAGACACATGACCCAAATGGCTTACATCCCTTTGGTTGGTGAGTGTTTTAAAAAAGACTAGACCTACAGGATGACATGCACAAACCCTTGCATTGCCATCAGATTAAATTATGTTATTGCTGTGAACAGGTTTATAAGAATGCACCGTTTTATTTTCAGCTGATAAAAGTCCATAGATCTGTTGTCATTGTTGCATGCAATATTGTTGTATTTAAAGTGCTTTTAGAAAAGAATTAGTGGCGTTTAATAAAGCATCATTTCTCATACTCAGAATTTGTCAGTGAACAAACCCGTAACATTAAGTTTACATTTAACTCACAAATGTGTGCTACAGACATGAATGGTACCTCAAACACTCTCAGAAAAAAAATTAATAAATAAATAAAAAAAACTGTGTACAAATTGCTGCCACTAGAGCAGTACCTTTTCAATATCTACACTTTAGGTACTAATACAATTTAGGTACTAATAAGTACCTTTAAGATACCAATATGCACCCTTTAGGAACAAAGGTATACCTTTTAAAAAGGTAACACCCCAGTGACAGCTTGTGTACCTTTTTTCTGAGAGTGAATCATGCAGCATACATATATTTATCAGCTGATAAATCTGCTGGAAAAAAAAAAAACGTATAATGAAGGAGAGAATCAATCCATATCTAAAGATCAGAATATCATAGAGACTTGGGTTGGACTCTTTTGAAATGGACCATTTAAGTAACCACTGTGACGGATCGGCTGCCTCCCCCTAATTATCATCATCACCATGTCCCTTAATTGCCACCCTTCCAAAGGCTCCCGATAGGAGTGGGTGTGTGAGAGGAGGGGCGCAGAAACAGCCAGGTCTGGCGGCGTGTGATGAGGCACACCTGAAGTGAATGGAGCCTCATCACCGCTGCTGCCGGACCGTCTGGACGAGAACCGCACCCGTTAGTAGCTGACAGGCCAGGATGCCAGGCCGTTTATTCCTGCTAGAAGAAGCCGCCGCCCCCTCGCGCCTCGGACCAAAGTGGGGAGTGCTTGCGACCGGACAACACCCCTTGCCTGGACCCTTCCTTCCTGAACACTGCCCTTCCCTTCACGACTTCCTTGGCACAACAAGGACACCAGATCCCCTGTTTATTTTGGACACTATTTCCACTCAGAACAGTTTATTCCCTTTTTGGACATTTTATGTTTGATTTTCTGTTAAAGGGGTCATATGATTTTGCTAAAAAGAACATTATTTTGTGTATTTGGTGTAATGAAATGTGTTTACGTGGTTTAAGGTTAAAAAAACACATTATTTTCCACATACTGTACATTATTGTT